GGCATTTACTTCTCTCCTATTATTGTGTCTTGTGGTCTGTAGCATACTTTTACATCAATAAACAAACAGGTAATTTTAAAAAGCCAGTGCTGATTTCCGACTTTCCTATTCAACAATTATAACCAGAGCTGACAGAATAAAAAGAAACCACTAGTGGATCTTCTTGACTTAAAATTTGGTATATAAAACATTTTGGTGTGCATTCTGATTTTGTTGCAGAGTTTTCAGGTCTTTTTTTTAGTACCGGGGATCGAACTTGGGTCCTTGCACTTGCACAGCAGGCAGCAAAATCACTGAGCTAAATCCCCGGCCTCAGGTCTTTTAATATATCATTACACTGCCTTCTGGCCTCCATTGTATCTGATGAGAAGATAGCCATTAATAAGAATTATCATTCCCCTTAGGTCAGAGGTCTGCAAATTCTGGTCCATGGGCCACATCTGGCATTCTGCCTACTTTTGTGCTGTGTGCTAAGAATAATTTCTCCATTTTTAAATACTTAGTGAAAATCAGCTAAATTCCATAATTTTTAGATATCACACCATATTGCTAATATTTTATACAGTCAGTTTGATTTAGTGTGATCCTTCTCCATTCCTGTTCTTCTTTCTGAACTTCTATTTTCTTTAATCAGTTCTTGAAGATGTTCTTGTTTTGTGTTGCTTTGTTTGGTGTGGGTCTGCTGTGTGGTATGTTGTTTCTGATGTATGTAACGTTAAATCTACTGTAGAAAACCTCTACTTATTTGGGGGCTTCTTTTTTCTACCATAATTAGCGTATTTGAGGTGATACAGATTTTCCTTTTATATAGTCCTTTATCTGTTTGTGAGTGAGAGCAGAGGTCAAGGATTGAGAAAACATGTCTTCTAGGACTCAGCAGGTAAGTAAATGTGTGAAGTGGCGTAAGAGTAGGTTGATGTTATAGTTGGAATCCCTGCTGCTTCTTCAACAGCAGCCACCATCTGCTGCTCGCCTAGTTAGCAACATGGTTTCTGAGATTTTCAGCCTTCCTATGAGAAGATGGAAAAATTATATAAATTTTTACAAAATTTTCTGAGATTCACATATTGACATTCACACATTGAAAAACAATATAATCCAATAGTATGTCAGCCTTCAAGTTAGAGACAATGGTAGGCAATTTGCCACCGATGGTCTAGATACCCCTGGTACCTAGAGAAGAAAGCCTTACTCCTTAAAATTAAACACAAGGACTGGTTATAGGAACTCCTGAATTTTTTTGAGACCAGGATCTCACTATGTAGGTCAGGCTTACCTCCAACTCACTGTGTAGCCCAGGCTGGCCTCAGCCTCCTAAGTGCTGGGATTATGGTCATACAGGCATGCATTACCATGCTTTGCACAGAACTATGAAAATGTGAGTACTGTGGAGTTTCTTCCAGAGTTCTAGAGCAGTTCGCTATGTGGTTATAGGGCTTTGTGCCACATTTGGCAGCCATGCGGAATCTGGAGCTCTATACTTTTTCAATCCCACCCTGTTTAATTCTGCCAGTATGCCTCTTAGAAGTCCTACTTTTGAGAATTATGCTTTTGATTATAATCTTGGGGCCAAATATGAAGGGCAGCACCTTTCTTCTTTCTTTTTCTTCCTTCCTTTTTGGGGGGTGCAGGGGTGTGATACCGGTGATTAAATCCAGATTCTTTGCACCAAGCTATATTCACAGCCTTTTTTTCATTTTTTATTTTGAGACAGGGTCTTGCTAAGTTTTGTAGTCTGGGCACAAACTTTCACCCCTCCTACCTCAGGCTCTCTGAGTGCTGAGATTACACGCATGCACCACTCACTACTCCTGACTCATCGTACTTTTTGATGCGCAAAACAAGTTATTGGATGGTTCTGATCTTGATAAGATCTTTCTGAGAACTTTGATACTCCACTAAAATTCTTGTTTTTCTTCAGTACAACCAAGCAGAGTTCAAGTGCCATGTTTGGAATAATTTGTGGTTGGAGTTCAATTTCATTTAAAATGATAAGTTTACAAGAAAATTGAGAAGGTACAGAGAATTTTGTATCCCTCTACTTCCACATGTGTAATCCTTTCCTGTCAACATCCCCCACCCAGTGGTACATTTGTTACAATTGATTTACCCATAGTGACACATCATTATCACTCAAAGTCTATAGTTTATGTTAGGGTCCACTTTTTGTGTTCTACATTCTGTGGGTTTTGACAAATACATAATGTCAGGTGACCCCCCCGCCTTACGGTATCATACAGAGTAGTGTCACTAGCAGTGTCCTCTGTGTTCTTAATCACTTCTTCCTCCTTCCCAACCCCTCATAACTGGTGCCTTATTATCTCTGTGTTGTTTCCTTTTCTACAGTGTCACGTATTTGGAATCATACGGCATGTAGCCATTCCAGACTAGCTCCTTATACTTAGGAATGTGCATTAAAAGTTCCTTCATGGCTCTTCTTGGCTTGCTAGACATTTCCTTTCAGAAGTAATGTGTGTGTACCACAGTTTATCTAGTCACCTACTTAAGGACATCATGGTTGCTTCCAGGTTTTGGCAAGTATAAAAGCTGTAAACATCTGTGTGCAGGTTTTTGTGTAACCATATTTTCAACTTTCAGATCTTTTGGGTGTATACCAAAGAGCACAATGGCTGGATCATATGTTAAGAGTAAGTTTAGTTTTATAAGAAACTGTCAAGCTGTCTTCCAAATGGCTGTACCATTTTGTATTCCCACAAGCACTGAGTGAGAGTTTCTGTTGCTCCGCATCCTTGTTAATATTTGGCATTTTTCAGACTATTTGTCACTAGTCTGGATTTTAGCCATTCTGATAGGTGTGTAGTGGTCCCTCATTTTGAATTTTTACTTTCTCATGACATCTGAAGTACTGTTTTTCATATGCTTATTTGGCATATTAAATTGACTTTGATGAAGAGCCTTTGAAGATCGTTGACTCTTTTTTTTTAATCGGATTGTTTTCTAATTGTAGAGCCTTAATAGTTCTTTGTAAAATTTAGTAAAAACTCCTTTGTCACTTAAATCTTTTAAGATATTTTCTCTCAGTCTGTGGCTTATCTTTTCATTCTCTTGATAGTGTCTTTGCAAAGCAGAAAATTTTAATGAAATATTTCTTCATGTATTGTGCTTTTGGTGTCACATCTAAAAAGTCATGGCCAATCTGAAGGTCATCTAGATTTTTCTCTAATGTTGCCATTGAGGAGTTTTGTAGATTGAGTTTTAAATTTAATTCTGCAATCCATCTTGAGTTAATGCTGTAAAGCATCTTTCATTGGTTATGGCACATTCTCAGCCATTGGCTCTTAAAGTATTCTCTGCTTCTGTCTCTATATAGAACAAGTTTAATCTGACTTGTGTCCAACTTTCTTATTAGATCCCTTGTGTCTCTTACTCTTTATTATACTTTTTGTCTCTATGCTGCATTCTTGGGTAGCTTCTTTTGTTCTATACTATAGTTCAAATATTTGTCTACTAAAAATTCATGCTGAAATTTAATTGACATTTTAACAATATTAAGAGTTGGGATTCTAGTAAAGCACAGTGCAGCACATGCTTATAATCCCAGCTACTCAGGAGACTGAGGCAGGAGGATTGCAAGCTTGAGGTTAGATGGGCAACTTAGTGAGACCTTGTTTTAAAATAACATGGAACTGGGCATGATGATGCATGCTTGTAATCTCAACACTCAGCAGGCTGAAGCAGGAGGGTTATGAGTTTGAGAGTAGCCTGGGCTATGTAACAAGTTCCAGGCCAGCCTGGATTACATAGTAAGGTCCTGTGTTAAACAAAGAAGAAAAGGAAGAAAACAGGAGAAGGGGACACTTCAGTGATAAGAGTACCCCTAGGTTCAGTGCTTAGTATTGGAAAGGAGGAGGAGGAGGAAGGGGAGGGGAGGGAAGAAAGGAAAAGAAAAGAAAGAAGGCAAATTTGTTCCCCTCCTGTTCTCCCCCTTTCCATTTGTCAAACACTGAAGCCTTGGTCTTGCACTTACCAGCCTCCAGAACTATGAGCAATAATTTCTTGTTCTTTATAAATTATCCATTCTTAGGTATTCTGTTACAGCAGCACAAAATGGACTAAGGTTATTTTGTGTTCAGGAGCTTTCTCTTCAGCTGTGTCCAGTGTTCTATTGAACATATCTGCTGAGTTAATAAATTAATTATTTTTTTCTCTAGAATTTCATTTTGTTCTCTTTTAAATTTGCTATGTACTTTTGGTTGTTGTTGTTGTTGTTGTTATTTTTGCAGTGCTGAGGGTCAGGCCCAGTGCCTTACACATGCTAGACAAACACTACCACTGAGCTACAATCTCAGCCTGTATATCTATACTCTGTTATAGTTTCTAGTTTTAGGAGGCTCAAGCATTTCTCATATATCTTAGAACATAGTAAGTATATTCATTTTAAAGCCTATATCGAGTAATTCCAGAATCTGGAGTATCTGTTCCAATGTGGTTGCTTGTGTTTGTTTGCTATTTGTTCTTTGCTCATAGTCTTTTTTCCTTTAGTATATGGCTATATTTGACTAGGTACTGGTTACATATAAATATGAGGTCAGTTTTAAGGCTAGATCATGGCATCTTCAGAAGTGATTTTAGGTTTTTGTACTAGTTGTCTGCTAGTCTGGGACCACTGAACTTCAAATTTAAGGCATGAGGTTTTTCTGGATTACCTAGATATTATGAGACTCGGCCCATACGTGGATTTATTATAACCCTTTGCGGGTATCAGTTGTTAGAGTTGAGATGAGAACCCAGTAAACTATTTTATGACAAAAGCAACTATGAGTGTTGGTCTTAACCCTTTTCTTAACCCTTTTGAGCTCTTACCTTAGAAGATTTCTATCTAATTACCTTTTCATCCCTTTAAGGTTTTTTATTTCATTAATAATTTATAAATTTTCATTACAGATTTCATCTTATTTATGTGGCCTGCCATTAATAGACACAGAAATCTTTCCCTTTAATTTGAATTTTAACATATGATGTCTGTTTGCTTTTTGTAGGTTCTACATGAAACATTTCCTCAACACACATTCCTCATGAATGGTCTCATTCAAGGTGTAAAGGTAAGAACAATTTTTGTGTGATTCATAATGAATCAAAGTGAGGAATCTTTAGTAGTTTAACTGGAGATTTAAGTGGATCTTAGTGAAACAGTTACTATTTGTTTTAGAGATTTAATTCTAAATTTCTACTTGGATTACCAAGATCAGAATAAAACACAACACAAAAACCTAAGACATAGAGTAGTTTACTGTTAAAAGCAGTGTGAATATTTTATAGGCCTTACTGCATTTTCATTAATGTGTATACAATAGTTATAAAAAGTTTAAACTGCTCTGCCTGTCAACAGAATAGAGGACAAATGCTTATTATCTTCTTCTTAGATACACTGTGAGACTGAGGAAAGAGGAAGCAACAGAATTTAGTCTTTTGGTCAAGCTAATGCTCAGTGCATAACTTTGAGTTCTCAACCATTCAGTTTAAGTGGCCTTAGCTTGTTATTTCAATTTTAATATATTTTGTGGCAAATAAACATATGAAAAAATGTTCAACCTCACTCACTGGTCATTCAAGTGATGCAGATGAAAACAATGCTGAGATTCCACCTCACCCCAGAAAGAATGGCTGCCATCATGAAATCAACCAATAACAAATGCTGGCGGGGCTGTGGGGAAAGAGGAACCCTGCTCCACTGCTGGTGGGAGTGTAGACCGATGCAACCACTGTGGAAATCAGTAGGGAGATACCTCAAAGAACTAGGACTGGGAGTCCTATTTGACCCAGCTATTCCCCTGCTGGGGATCTTCCCCAGAGAATTAAAAGAATCATACCACAGTGATATATGTGCACCCATGTTCATAGCAGCACAATTTGTGATAGCTAAAACTTGGAAGCAGCCCAGATGCCCATCAACTGCAGACTGGATAATGAAAATGTGGTTTTTAAATAAAGTGGAGTACTACTCAGCCATCAAAAATGAGAAATTAGAGACATTTATAGCTAAATGGATGCACATTGAGGTGATACTCTTAAGTGAATTAAATAGGACACACGTGTAAAAACAGAATAGTTTCTCTAGTGTGAAAAACTGAAAGTGTAAATAGGACTAAAAGGTATAATAGATAATGGGAAATAGGAAGAAAAGGGGCAAAGATGAAGGGGAAGTAGGAGGGGTAGGGGAGAGGAAAGAAGGGAATGGAATTAGTATGAGAAAATGAAAAAATGGAAACAAAGTCTTTGTAAATAGGGAGGGATGGAGGGGTTGAAGGGAGGGCAGGGGAAGGGGAAAAATTATAAACCAAGAGAGATTATGTAAAGGTGCAAATTTCCAATGATGAATGTCATTATATTGTATACCTAAAATCTACCAGTAAAATAAAATTTAATATATTGTGGAAAAGTTTATAAGTAAAGGGTTAAAATATAACAATATATTCCAGAGTCACTTTAAAGTATATGGGTATGGGGTCTTTATTTAACTTTGATGCTATCAGTGTTTGCATAATTAATATTTTGTACTGAACAACACACTTAAATTTAAATTATGCCCTAGTAGTTTGCTGTATTTCCAGAGACTCAGGAGGCTGAGGCAGGAGGATTGCAAGTTCAAGGCCAGCATGGGCAACTTAGTGAGATCCTGTCTCAAAATAAAATTAAAAAACAAGGGCTGGAGGTATAGCTCAGTACTCTTTGAGTTCAGTCCCCAGTACAGTACTAAAAAAGAAAAGGAAAAGGCAAAGGGATATTTGTTATAATTTCATTTGCAATTGTAAACATGGAAACAATTATAGTTAAAAGAAATAAATTGTGGTACAGCCAGATGATGTCACACAAGCATTTAAAGAACACGTTTTTGAAGAATATATGTGTGAGACAAACAGGACATAAATATATAGCTCTATTTTATTTTGATGTATACATACATATATACATATATGCAGGGGGAAATGATTAAAAAGGAGTCACCTGGAGCCTTTTTCCTTTAGCACTTTGAATGTATCGGTCTTCTGGCCTCCCAAATCCATGATAAGAATTGTACCTGTCATCATATTGATGCTCCTTACTCTGTGTTGAGTCTATACTCTTGTTGCTTCCAAGATTCTATTACAGTTATCTTTCTATATTTTGATTATAATGTGTATCAGGATAGGTCTCTGAGTTTATCTTAGATCTTAGATGTTCATATTCATATCATTCATCAAAATTTTTGATTCTGCAGGCATTGTTTCTTTGAATATTCTTTCTGCCCCTTTCTCCTCTCCATCACAGACTCTCACTGTGCATATTTCATTTGGCATGATGGTGTCTCCTGAGTCCCTTATGCTCTGTTCACTTTAGTCTTTTTCCTTTCTGTTCTTCAGGCTCAATGAACCATTGTCCAGGTTCAAATTCACTGCTTTTGCTTGCTCAAATCTTCAAGTTCTTCTATTGAGTTTTTAAAAAGTTTTAGTTATTAACTTTTCAGTTCCAGGGTTTCTGTTTAGGCTTTCTAATTTTTGATATTTGCATTTAGTTCATGCATCGTTTTCTTGATTTTTTTCCTACATCATCTTAGTTCTTTGAGCATCTTTAAAATAGTAAAGTCTTTAAGAGGAGAAGAGTAAGGGAGAGGAGAAAGTGGGGGGAGTGTAGGGCAAGGTCATGGATAGAAGATATGATCAAATATGTATGTATGAAAATACCACATTGAAACTCAGTACTTTGTAAAATGAAAATGAAAATAAAAATGTGCTTATAATTTAAAAATTAAGTCCTCATTTAGTATATTTGCTATCCAACCTTTTTCAGGGGCAGTTTGTGCGCGCGTGTGCGCGTGTGTGTGTGTTTTAATGTACCATAGTTTTCTATATGCATTGTGATTTTCTGTTGAAAACTAGATATTTGAATCTAATAATATGGTAAGTCTGAAAATCAGATTTTTCCTCTTCCTTCATATTTGCTATTTTTTCTTATTACTTTTGTTTTTTGTTGTTATAGCCTTACTCTCTGGTCAAGGGATCAATTTGAGGTATAAGTTTAAGGTATATTCTTAGCTTATACCTTCCCTTGGGTATGTAGTCACTTTATAAATACCCCTACATGACTGTTAATTCTGATATGTCAACTTTATTGGATTAAGAACTGTCTAGGGCAGCAGATCACTAAAGGACACTCCTGGGTGTGTCTTGGTAGGGCATGGAGCCGGGACTTTGGGTTCTGTGTGTGGTCCTTTGCCTGTTACTCTCTGCCACTGCTCCCTTGCTCTGCTTCCCAGCTGCCATGAACAAAGCAGCTTTGCTTCGCTTCCCTCTTTACCTAGATGTTCCTGCCTTGGAACCTGCCATCCATGTACTGAATCTCCTGAAACTGTGAGCTAAATCCCTTAAGTTGTGTTAGGTATTACATCCGGCCACAGGAAAGCTGCAGTTGCTTTCTTTTTGGTACCAGGGATTGAACTTGGGTCCTTGCGCTTGCACAGCAGGTGGCAAAACCACTGAGCTAAATCCCTGGTCCTGCAGTTGCTTTTGAATGTTCTAATCTTAAATGCCTGCCTCGCAAAAGAAGAAAATGAAAAAAATAAAAAGGGGGAAAACAAGCATTAGCTCTTTAAGTCTCCTAGAAATTACTTCAGCCACAGTGGGAGAAGGAACAGCTATGTCCTCTTTGTACCTCTGTGATGAGAGGTAGCAACCAATGATCAGAGCACAGATCCCTAATATTTGGGGGAGTCTGCTGACCTCTACAGTATGTGTGGAAGTTACTCCAGGGATGCTGCTCAGCTACCTCCATGGGGCTGGGGGTAGCAAGTGTGTGTGTTTGTGTGTGTGCGTGTGTGTGTGTGTGTGTGTCTTGGGGACTGAGCTCATGGTCTGCTACATACCTGGCATTGTATAATTTTTATTTTGAGACAGGGCTTACTAAGTTGCTCAGGCTGGGCTTGAACTTGTAAACTTCCTGCTTTAGCCTCCTAGATTGCTGAGATTATAGGCACGTACCACCACACCTGGCTGAAATTGTACTTTTTTGATGCAAGCCTTCCTTCCCCTGAAAGTTACAAGCTTTTAATAGATTTCAGAATTACAAAATAGTTACATCAGATTCTACTAGTGTAGTCATTGTCTAGGTGGGCAGACAGATTCCATGTGCTTCCTACTGTGCTGATTTCCCAGAAGCCACCTATTAATATGTTTTTCTTTTTATACAGAAAGCACTTTAATTCTTGACATTTTTAATATTGTTAAAATTAGTGTACTACCTGGGGATATTCTACAGTGGTAGAGTACTTGTCTTAGCATGAATGAGGAGGCCCTGGGTTCAATCCCCAGTACTGTCTTTAAAAAATTTAAAGGAAAGAAAAAAAAAGTAGTATACTAAATACGTATTTTAATTTTTAAAAATTTTCACTAATCATTAGAAGTGATTACTAAAGATAGAGAGCTGTCACAAAAGTTTCTAAAGGTTGTGAGCAATCAGTATTTTCAGTGGACTGTTAAGATCACTGCAGAATCATTTGATGGTGCTGCACTGCCATATAAAGCAAGATGGTCTGTGCTGTTTGTAGTGATTATACATGGTCCTGTCACATGACAACACCATAATACATTAACCCAGTTCCTTTATAGATGATTTTCAAACTGTTGAAGATAACTTTATAACAAATTTTTTCAAAAATCTTTGTCTACATTTCTTTTTTTTTTTTTGGTACCAGGGATCGAACTCGGGTCCTTGCGCTTGCGCAGCAGGTGGCGAAACCACTGAGCTAAATCCCTGGCCCTCTTGTCTACATTTCTTATGGTTTCCAAAAAATAGTTATAGGGCTAGGGATTTAGCTCAGTGGTTCTGCCACCTACCTGCCCCAAAAGCACAAGGACCCAAGTTTGATCCTCGGTACAAAAAAAAAAAAA